TATTATAGGATGGCAGATTCTCCACACCTACACCGAGGCAGCAAACTATCTAGCCCAGGAATTCCGAAACAACTTCTGTTGGGTAGAGGAGGCCTATTCATATTCGTATATTCACAGTGTTGATAGCCTTGAGTGGGACGGCCTTGATGTGGTTTTCAACAAGGAGGGTGCCTAACTAAAAGTATGCAAATCTAGAACTGCATTTCTGAGAGCCCATGCAGGTGTTCTGGCCATGGAATAAAGTGGAGAAAAAACTAATATTCACCTCCCAAATATCTAGTCAACAGACTCAGGTTGGCCAGCGTTAATCGCTTGGATCCCCTCTGTTATCAGCCGTCCTCCAGGCCGGCGTATGCTCATCCCAACATCCCTGGATAAAGCACTCTATTTATCGTATCATGCTTCCAGAGTAGTTCAGCCCATGCGGAGTGAAACAAATGTTACTGGAAGCAAACTAGAAGTCTGCGAGTAATCCAGCCTTGGACGACGGTAGCTTTTCTGATCCTTATAGTAATAATATATTTCATACAACAAAGGTAACACGAATACAAACCAGTTTACAGGTTTGATCATTTTGGTAATGAGAAGTGATGAATATGTACAATGTCAAGCTATACATCAGGTGCCGTTATTTATGGCATATAAGAGGTGTGTTGAAGCAGGCCCAGTCCGAAATTAGGAATTATCCGGTCATCGTTTGAACCTTCCAATATTCTTGAGGGTGGGGCCGCATCACAGTCATGATCTTGAGGTGTGCGCGTTCGTCATAACGTTTTGATGGCAATACTTCCCACTGACAAACGCGATTTGTAGGATTCCATTTGAATGCATGAATGGTTAGGTAAACCTGAAAAGTGAATAGCAAAAACGAGCGGCAGGCTAAATTCGAAACAAGAGCACAAAAATACGCAGGAGTAGATCAACCAGGATACATCTGGGTGAGTCCTTCGTACTGACTGCAAAACTTACTTCAAGAAGTATCCAGAACCAACTGTTTAGAGGTAAGCTTAGGTGGAAAAAGATGAATGTGCGCACGACGGTAATGTGAGTTAGTCTCAAGCTGAAGATATCACTGCGAAATAGAGAGATTAGAGGATTTTGGACCAGATATTCACTTGTTATATACCTGTGTACAAGCGTTTGATGAAGTTATAAACATTTGGGTGAAATTCATGGTAAGTGTTACCACATCGGGGCTACCGAAGGAATATGTTGGTGCAGAGTACGTACATGTATGCACCGAAAGTGACTAAGTTGGCGTTGAGGTTATCCTCACAGTTGGTAGCAGTCAGTTAGAGCTGGCTGCTCTGCATCTAACTGCTTCCTGGCGGTAAAAAGCGAGCCTCAGGGTCCTTTCCTTGTTCCTCTACTACTTCTAGCTGTTGTCCTCAGCAATCATACAGGATAACAATGGGGGCATAAATCACCACGTGAAGTTGTATAACGCTCCGCTTTGGGTATTCTGGGTGACAGGACTAGTCGTATAATTTATGGGGCAATTTCAGAAACAGTTTACTTCCCTATCGTCATGTATTTTTCGAAATGTTAACTGATACACTGGATCTGCGTAGTAAGATGCATTGGTTGCAACTGAGATGTCAGTTGTATGTTTTCGAAATGCGGAAAGATCATTTGTTAATCAAACTTTTTCTAGAGAACTTCGTGCTTATGTGATCCTTGCTTATCGTTTTTCCCAGTGACTACATGTGAACACATACCGCAGAAAGTACAAATGTTTCCCTCGTTCTACATTGCAGGATGACCGTCCTACTACAACAAGATCGAGAAGGGAGAATGTTGGAGGAATGACTGATGAACACTGGCTCGGACGACACCCTAAATTTGTTGAATACTTCGTACCTAAATACACATTTTTACACGAAGTAAAGTGCATTTTCTTCCTTTAATATTTATGAAGAATGCTGGGACTATGGGAAGTGAATATTGTTAAACTCCTTCGTTAAGTGCGCTCCTGTGCAGACGGGTGTGAACGAATTACTTGTTACGATAGTCTGGATGTAACTGAAAATGTTTACAGTGTGTGAACTCGCAGACTTTTCCTCTACGGATTCCTGGATTGCCGACAATAATTCAACAATCTGAAGCTATAGAGTGGTTGGAAGTTCTCCTATTTTCTGCGCATGAATGACAACTTGCCAATGCACCGATACCGTGGTTTTCGGAAACAAAGTACATGTGCCAGTAGTGACCCAAGAGTTTACCCCAAAAGCAGCTGCTAAGAAATGCAGCTTGTATTATGAGGTAAAAGAATGTGCTAATCTACATGGTAAAACATTTCCGTGCCAACAGACAAGTTAGCGGCAGTCGAGTAGGCAGGTTCAACGTCGTTTATCTGTAGGACAATGCAATAAGTGGACGTGTTAGATGGGGCATGAAAACTATTAATGAAATCCAATTTCAAAAGTGAAAGCAGACTTGCATTACCTTACCCTTTACAGTCCAGTGTCTGTACAGTGAAGTTTACGTGTACAATCCAGTTTGCTATCTAAGTGTAAGGTGGAAGTGAGTTGGACTTACCCGTCTGTAAGGGCTGTCGTCCATACTTATAACTGCGGATGGAGTAAACGTCACGATTAAAAAGTAGGCAGGTTTTAAGGATTGGTACTTCACTCCAGCATCCCCCTTATATCGATTGCGTTCCCTCACAAAGTAGTGAGCATTCGTCACCTAAACATCGGGTCAAGTGACTTCTTAGCACACTTTCTGGAACGTATTAATCGCTTCTTCAACTTGACTCCAGGCAGTAAAATGTCTAGGTCTTATAATCTGCTCAAACACCGCAGAAACATCAACACGCTTTGCGCTGGCTATGCTAGCACTGCTCGTAGAAGCTTGATGAGAATCCATGACGTATTGAAAGCGGATAGGTAAAGCATTCTTCTTAGAGGACTTTCAGCTGAAGTGTTGATAAACAGCAACGGACCGTGTTAACATTTGCACAGACTTCCTAAACAACCAGATAAAGGCTGTAAACGTTGAAGTAATTCGGGGATCAGGGGCACCACAGGCAGCATCACGGCTTTTTTAACGATTGACCAACTTCTAACAGAACAGGAACAACATAAAGCGGATAAACCTACATTAACCCATTAACATAACATGAAGAAATAGAATTCAACAAACAGATATGCAAAAAACACTTTTTATAACCGACCTGTGTCCTTTAAACATCGCGAAAGATAAAAACAGTTACCGAGGCAGGCAAACAATGAAGGCAGTATCATAACGGGGCATAACTGAGTAAAATTCACAACATAGGAGCGGCAACAACGTCTGCAACTTTAATAAATCAACGAAAAACACGAGACCAATCGTCCAACATGGCCTACTAAGATGGCGAGAAATGACCTTATAATGGCCACAAGACAGCATTCTGATTGGTTTCCGAGTTGTAAAGCGCTTCTTAAATTTCCCCCGTAGGATACCCGCAGTCGTTTCACTATGATGTGGTATCAAAGGCTACACGTGAGTGGTTTGGCCAGTGAGTGATTTGCACTGTCTATCAGGGTCATGCATGAAACTAATAGATGCATGCCGCGATCTAGGGCAGCGCTTGATTTGAACTTGTTAGAGATTCTAATAATGTGCATTTATGACGCCTTTCAGTCCTGCACCGCTATCGGCTTATTCCTGCTTGCCAGAGGATTTTGAGTATGAAAACGACTACAAGAACATTGTCTGAACGAACACATTTCTCAGTGCAGTCGTTTCGATCCCGAAAGTCAGGCTTCTAAAATAGCTATCATGGCCACCAGGTGGTTCATATGAACAGAAAGACAACGAAAGGCTATTTGCACAATAGGCCAGTCCCTTTGACCTCTCCAGCTGTGAAGGTCAGGGAAACTAAATAAGCGACTTACCTCTCGATCATTGGTTCAGGTAATTAATCAATGCTGAGTCCCAGTATGCTCTTCAATCTTATAGATCTAGTGACACCAGCTTGTTAAATATCTCAAGTGGTTTAGCTTTCTGGGAACGTAGAGGGGCCATTTGTATTGAGTCACCTGAGGCTTACAAAACCCAGGGTAAGTTTCATTCTGATCATTGCCGTCTGAAATGCAGTGTGGCCACAACAGATGGAGTAACTCAGTTAGTCTCCACTACAATCACTTTGATCTGATTTCTTCGCAGGGCCTCCCGTGAATACAAGTGGGAATGCCCCAAGGTTAAATTCTTTACCCAGTAAGGTGTACAATTTTTATGAATGACACACTTTCATGGATTTTCGTTCACCGTTATGCTTCATAACCTCTGAATTTGTGAAATCGGGTTCCAATGGATGAGTCTCCCTTCCAAAGGGATTCCAGAGGGATCTGAAAGTTAACGCCCTTGAACCTGTTTCTGTAGTATAGAAAGACTATGCTCTAGAAGATCTATGGTACCACTTGGATTGCTAATAAAATTGGTGTTCGTAGGGAATTGTTAATGATAAATAACAGTGTTGTATTCCCGCATAAATTGACTAAGGAAATAACTGAGGTCAACCAATACTAAGAAAGTATTCGGTTGCTGCAGGGGAGGAGCCTATAAAATTCCAGCTTAGTACTTATGCTGTATGAAGTTTTGCAACCACACTGTAGGAAAAGACGCGATCTTCTTTCGGTGCAGTGACACTAGAATGACATTTTTGATATTGGCCTTCATAGTCTTTTCCGCCAGATCAAATCATTTTAAATGTCAGCAGAAAGCACTTCAGAGTATGCGTTTGGATAAGCTAAAGGTGGGACTCAGATTCGCCTGATGAGAAATGAAATAGTAGAAATTACTAGTACCATCAGCCCTCCCATGGACACTTTTTGACATAAAGCAGATACATGAAGATATATTCTACAAGGATAAACACGATATGCTAAGTCCATTGACCTCAAAACTGAAAACTGATGGACATACTTTGTAGTGAGTATTGAAACATTTAAGTGAGCGGGGATAGTGGGGTTTCAAAGTGCGGCCTTGAGCATGTGAAAAACAGCTACCTAACAATGCCACCTGATCCTTCAAAGGATAGTGGTTCTAAGAGTAAAAGTAGTCAAAAGTCATCGTAAGTTTTGGTCAAGGCTTATTTTGGTGTTGCAGGAAAGACAATATTAACCTATATGCAGTTCTAGAAGTGGACAAACATGCAACAGTTGAGGAAATCAAACGGTCTTATCGTAGAGTAAGTCGTTATTTTCTCGTAATCTCTCAGCTTGCACTGAGGTATCATCCTGACAAAAATCCAGATGACCCAGAATCATTGGAAAAAGTATGCCAGCTGTTATTCATGATTTTTTAGTTCAAAGAAATTAACAGGGCACATGCTATATTAGCTAATGAGCAGAAAAGAAAACTGTATGATCGATATGGATCTCTGGGTATTTACATCGTTGAGCACATTGATGAAGAGGACTGGAAGCCATACCTCGCTCTTCGCAACCCATGTGTTCAGGTAAGACCTTTTGTTTATTTCTCTACGTTTATTCTTGCAGCCTTCAAAGCAATCTTTTCATCTATAGATATGAAGGTATTTCTGCAAGGTACACATGCCACTGGACTGAAATTGAGTATTTGTATTCAACGGTTACAATAAGCCACTTAAAGTTCTCTAAAGTCGTACATCGATGTTTCTGCAGAAAAACTGCCACATGATACATGCTATTCAAATATTTTTATGTATTTTGGAATAGGGCTTGTGCTTTCAGCGCTCTGCTATCTTGGTTTTGAAGAGTGCCACCAGTATTGTGGACGTGTGTCGAATACGTTTACTGACTTATTAGTTTGGCTTAATCACCTGTTCCCATTCCTAACACCAAACCCGCCACAGTCTCATCAGTTTACCTTGCTGTTATTGCTAAGGATCCGAACCAGGAAGACTGAGTTTATTCCCTATAAACCATGCTATGGATTTAAAATCGGAATTTTCAATGCCCGAATCTTGTGGGGAAATTTAATGGGTTTTAATTGCTGAAAGTTTGGAATCTTGACAGTGTCGATCATCTGCATATTCTTCTTGACTATATTTTGTTTAGGTTACCATTTGTAGGAAAAATACGGAGTTCTTGATTAGGGTTCTCACGACAGTCAAAATCGGTGATATGGCTCGAGATTGATCTAAGTAGCAATGTATCTATACACTATCCTTTTAATTGTCATCCACCATCCCATTACTGTTTTTACCGTCTTTTTCTGTTATGACTTTATGATTCAGTTACATTTCTCCTCACCTATCTCACTTCATTTGTCTTGTCGTCCTCATGTAGTTTGTAGCAATTTGGACCATTGCACAGAAGTACCAAGCACTGTGTTGACTGACTAGCTACTATTAACTCCTAACAAGGAGTTAAGTTAACACCCGCTGATATCAGATCAGTGTTGAAGTCATTTTTAAAAAGTATCGCCAAAGAACTATCACTTTTAGATTACCTGCCCAGGTTTCGACCACGTTTCGATTCAGGTGTATTTTTCTGTCGAAAGCAAATGGCTGCAAAGTCTGCATGCTTGGTCAGGAGACGATAGCAATTTTGTATTTAAGGGGAAGTAACTTGGCACTTACTAAACGTGGTACCAGTTCTTATTCGCATAGAGCATTGCGTGACATTCAGTCTGCTGTTGAAACTGGTTCTGCAGTGCTATATCTGGCAAAGCTATCCGAAGACCACGCGTTCCTGTGTAGCTTTCAGGATTCAGCGTCCCTTGTCCAATCAGCCAGCGTCAGCATGAGACCTTGCATTATTACGAAACGGCCTGAGTCATCACACGCTAGATCAGCACATTAAGGTAGGAGGCACACTAATGGAAGATTGAGAGATTTAAAAGAAGTAATTGGAGGTGGCCGTAGGTCATATAACGAAAACAAGAAGAGATAAAGCAGCGATGAAATTCACTGTGACGATTGAGATGAGGATAATGTGTGGGTGTATCAGCTCTAGTGAGATCATTTCTGGGCTATACCACCCAGGTTAGGTTGGGTGGCTAAAAAGATACAGAAAAGAAGTTTAATGACAACCATAGGGGAATCAGTCTTACCTATATCGTATGCAAGATCCTGGGTCTATAGTTATCCTATGTCTAACAGGAGCTCGAGAAAACAGATAAGTTTCAGACGTGGACGAATATGAACCAACCAGACCACCGTTCGTCAGGTTCTGGAACATAGGCATATCGGCGGCCGACACTTGCCATGTTTCTTGACTTGAAGGCAGTGTTCCACTCTGTTGGCCAAAGTGTTTGACTGTAAAGACAGGACTAAGCAAATTTACAGTGCTAATCAAATGCTCTCTACTGTAACACCCGTGTAAGGGGTTATCGAGAGTTGTCATTTGAATTGACAACAGCCAGTGGTATCCACTTGAGGTATCAGCTGTCTCCGTTTCTATTTGACTTCGTTATAGATGTATTAGTGGATATAACTTTAGGTACCTCTAAGTTGATAGAAACTGACTTACTACTAAGAGTATACTCGGTTAACTTGGAGTACACAGACGACATTCTACTGTTAGGCGAGGGTGACGACAAGATGCATGGTTTTCCGAACGCCTTAAGTGGAAATCTGAGTGTGTTTGACATTCGTTTTGCACCTGTTAGATGTAAGATTCTTCACTACTGGTTTGCAGCTACTTCTAGCTTAAGGATAGGGTTGGTAGAGTGCCCTGATCACTTCACTTGGGGGATTCGCATCAACGTGAACGGGCTGGTTACTGAATATATCTCACCTGGGATACGAAAGGCTCTTTTGGCGTATGTTAGCGTGCTTAATTTCCGGTAACGACTAGTGAGATATCCAACTACCTGTTTAAGAAAGATTAAACTGCACCTCATTTCATTCTCTCGTGTTATGCAGCTGTGAGACGCGGCTGTTAAAAGTAGATATGAAGAGAAAACAAGTTCTCAACCACAGGTGTCTTCATAGCATTGCTCGTGTGTGGTGGAATCGCCATGTCACTGGTATCGAAGCCAGGGGAAAGGGTACTGGGGAAGACAGGTAAGATCGGTGTGGTTGTGAACCCTCAGTGGTTGGAGTAACTTGAATATGTGTTGCAAATACCGAGCCATTACCTATATAGACGCACAGTCTTAGTCGAAGCTGAATTAGATTGGATTAATGCTCAGGTGAGCCGGACTAAGACGTGACGCTAGTCCATGAAGTCTCTGATTATTGGTCAGGGCCGTTTAAAAAAAGCGTAGACTCCTTGGTTGGCGTCTTCAGGACAGTAAGAATCAGTGGTCGAGGTCGTTGATGATATGGCTGAAGATTGGTCACAATGGCGATGTTTCTGCATCTTAATCGACGTACTGAATTTTAGTATTGTCTAGTTCCTCTCTTTTCTCTTTTGATGACTATACAGCTTTTGAAGTGTGGGGACTTGGACCGCTGCGCAGTAAAGCTAGGTTCTATTTTGATATTACCTCTCTATTTGTTAATTTATGATACCATTTAGAGTCGCAAATCACTAATTTCGGTTTTTACACGGCCTTCATCCAAAAAGTCTAGATTCGCCTGCACGAATCAGACCAGGAGTCGGATGCAGCGTCTTTAGTCTAACGACTTCTAGCGTTTCTCCAGCCTAGACCTACTTGGACTAACATGGTTTATCAGAGTATATGGTGAATGGGCATGCGCAACATATATCCCAGATGTCTGAGCCGAAAAAGGTTTACAACCTTGTTAACTGACGCTCCTCTTCTATCTAATGCTCAGTACCTGACTCCTGCGTTACTGGTAGCCTGTGGTGTCAAGGCAGCGGTCGTCAAACTGCCAAAGTCTTTTGATGTCTTCCATCTTCGGTTGAGGATTTTCACGACCATACAGTAAAGCATAGCGCACTTTTGCACAGTGAAGTTGACCCTTACTAGGCAATCGAGTGACATGGGGTCACCGCTAATGACGTAAACTGGAGAAATCCATTCCAGCCTTTTGTATCCGTGGAGAGATTTTGTCGGTCACTAACCCATCAGGGCTGACTCATCTTTCCAAGTGAAGTGGTCAATGCAACCAGCCACTTAGCTCCCTATTGTTAAACAGCGTGGTGAGAGGCGCGAAATAAACATTCTCAAGTTGATACTTAGGCTATCCAGAAGACTGCATCTTGTCAATGTCTTCACCTAATAGAACTGTGGCGTCTGAGTACTCTGCGTCTACTAAGGATTCTCCCGTGATAAGACCAATTCTTGCCAAGTGGGATGACAAAATAGGGACCTCCATAATTACGTTTTTTTTCGGATAAGAATGGAGAAAGTGGACATCCTTAATGAACACCACTTGGCATACCCAACTTACCTACCATTTCACCGTAGTCTCTGACATACCTAAAAGTGTTCGAGTACAGAGTGATATACTTACTCAGCACCTCCCGTAAGACTTCTGAATCAACAGAGTCAAATCCAGCCTTTTTGGTCAAGAAATATGGTTAGTACTGGTTGTTAGTGTATGTGTTTCGGAATCTGGCGGAGGGTGGAGTATCTGGTCGATACATCCATGACCAGGTCTAAAACTTGCTTAGTTTTCTGGAGTTTGTTTTATACAGACTCCACTAGTGGGACCTTAGACTTTGTGCTCTTCATACTGATTTCCTTGTGGTTATCTCAGGAGGTTTTCCCCTCGTTCTTGAACTGGGTTAACTAGTGATTGAGACCATTCTGAGGTGATTCTATCTGATTGCGCAGATGTATCTACAAATATTATCTTCATCTTGGTCGTCATACTGAATTCAGTATTTCACACTCCTTCCTGCTATCTTCTTATAGCCTTCTTCCACTTTGGACTACTTTCGTTTTTGTATCTTTATCTCATATCTTTGTGCATTCTTGCTTATTATGCTGCTATAAGGTGCCGCAACTTGTATCGTTATGCAGTGATGAAAGGTCCTGTCTTGGTTTTTTCTTTCTGTATGCCAATAGTTGAACTGACTGTCAATGACTGATAGGTTAGTTTTTCATCAGCAATGATTTATTGCGAGCATGGCTCAAAGTTATTTTGGGATCGGAGGAGTCAACATATGGTTATAATCTCTTCCCTCACAATAGAATAACAATAAAAGTCAGCAGAAACTGCCTAACTATTCATCTAACCTATAAACACATTTCACCTTTTTTAAAAACTAGTAATTAGCCCGTTGTTGAGACATTCACTTTGAAATGTCAAAGCTAAGAGAAAATCCAACAATTTTCATGCTTATGCGGTGTGATGTAGTGGGCTATCAAACAGTTAGTGCGAAGCAATTTGGATCACTGAAAATACAGAAGTGGGAGTTTCATAGTGTGTAGAATTATTAATACTATACAATTACAATAAATAGAGACAGTACCCAAATCATACCTTTAAATTGTACAGTAATTAAAACAATCAATCACTGTGCTTTTTATTTTTTTCTAACACTGAAGCTAATGCATCCTATTAAATGAATTCAAAGGTTAGTCAAACAAGAGATAAAGTTCGAGAAGAAAAAACTTTTATTATGGCTTTAATACGATAGACTGTTGTGATAGATTAAAATGTAACCCCACCTCTTTTGACAAGAATCTGTTGGTTACTTATCGGTTTTCATATGACCCTTATTATTTAGAGATGAGACGGTAATTATTTTACCTTAAATTTCTTTCCATAAGTAATTTTTATTTCATGAGTGGTCTTGGATTCGTCAATGTGTGCAGCTGTGGCTCATTACTCCAGGCAGTTGACTTTCACATATTGGAACTTCTCTACAACTACCAAAGTTTTGGACAACCTATCCAGCGTGGACCTGTGGCTGGGCGGTTTAGGGAGATGATGCTGTTAGATCAGCATCCCATCACCACTTGTGAGGGTTGTTAGAGATTTCCGTCGTAATTTCTTTTATGGTAAATGTCCTCACAAATTTCTTCACATTTCTAAAGATGTGATAGTAAAATGATAACCGACTTTTTGTTTGAAACAGCGGTACTTTCAGTATTCAGAATACAAATTAGGACCATTGAAGTTGCTCCCACTTCTCCCTTTCGCTAACAATTCTAAATGCCACATTCTACTAATAAAACGATTGTCAGGTGGATCTCACCAAAACCAGTGAGATGAATGTAATTGTTCTCGTGTGTTATTTACATGAACCTTAGATCTATCTATGCTGATTGTGCGATTTATAATCTTACTTCTGGTAGGCGTCAATATTATTGATGAAAATATTTTATTCTTCACGGTAAACTGTGAATACTTTACCTTTTATTTTAAAACACAAATTTGATATAAACATATTAAGTGCAAGTAATAAAGTTGGTTAATGACCAAGGTGACCACTGTAGTGGCTAGGGACATGTATCGCTCATGCTCAGTTATTTTCTACCTGTCACACGACGTTAGCTGAAGTAGGTTTAGGCTGAAGAAGGTTAAACGCAGTCAGACTGAAACATGACATCAGTCCACGAAGCTGTTGACTGTTGCCCTGAGCCATGTAGGGAAATGTAAACTTTCAAGCTTTAGTTCGTGCGACAGCAGAAACCATTGATTAAACAATAGGTGGTATGATTCAGAATCTATCGCAACAGCGTAGATGTATCCTCAACGTATCTTCCTCACAGTTGTCATACCGAATTTTGTCATTACTTTGTCCTTTCTTGTCCCTTTATTACGAGATTCTGTACACTGCTCTACGCGCCCCCTGCAACAACATACCTATCTACAGGCTAGACGAAAACGTATCAATAGCTGGTCGTTACGATTCTACTACTTTTGACCTTTTTCTTCTTCATTTCTTTGTCTTTTATCGTGATGTGTTCTTGCTTAATCTGCTGATATGAACTGTAGCAACTCGGACCGTCGCGCAGTAATGCACAGGTCTCATATTGATGCTGATTGACTGACTGTATATTTCTATGCTTTATACATTATGATATTGCTTAGGTTGTAAGCTGTTAACGAAGAACTCTGAAACTATATTCACATTTTTAACCGTTACAACTGTCATTGTTTCACAAATTTTCGGTAGTAATCTTTTGTAGTGTCGGGAGACTGATTTCCCATTATTGTAGATTGCGTTTTAATTTATGTGATGGTTGAGTTGTTAAGGATTTCGCACCGGAAGCGCATTTTTTTCAGGGGTCAATTCAGTTGTTGCATATTTATGTTATTATAGAAAATGTTTAGAGTGATTAGTAATCTTTTGTTTTTGTCATATGTCAACTTTATTTTTACAGTGCCTTGCGTGTACATGTTTTTTGCTGACATGTTGCTTCTGTTGCCTTTGTTGCTGCTACTGTTGCGGCACACTTTATCCAAAAACGCCTCGTGTTCCCGAAGAAATGAATATGGTATGTTTTATCCTGTTCATCCTGAAAGTTGTACATATCTTTGTTGTCATTTTAATTACCTCTGAATGATGATTTTCTTTTCTTACGTTGAGAATAGAATCATCTCAGGTTATCATCAGAAAGCCGATGATGTTACTTTGTTTTATAGTTTAATGACTGAAGTTCAATCAACATATGTGTTATAATTGCACATGAACAACCAGTGATGTACAGCTACCAACCGATGTTATTTCTCTGTTCAACTAACAGTCAGTCGGTTACTTTGGTTTTGCAGGGCAACTTAATTCAGTTGACACACTAAGAGAACTGTTGTCAAAAAGAACGAACCTTTACATAATTCTGGTTCACTGGTCAATAATATTCAGTTATCAAAGTAAAATAGAAACTTGGCTAGTTATTCAGCCATTTAGTTTGAATAGAATCATAATTGCAATTCACAAGTCGCTGACTAAAGCCCTAATGTGACTCAGGTGTGTTTTTAGCTCCTATCGTTACAACCATCTTCGTATCTTGCGATCATTATATTAACTAAGGCTATTGTATATTCTAATTATGAACATTCCAGTCTGGTGTTGATCGATTAATTCACAAATAAGATGGTTATTGAGGTATGTAAAAATGTACTAGTTAGTTAAGCGAATGAAGATGCCGAAAAAATAGTCAGGGTATTGGTATGCAATAAAATTCTAAAAATAAAACAGGTTATTATTTCGTTAAACGTAAAAGTTTACTCATTAGAAAAAATAATTATGAATGTCTGAAAGACATCTGCTGTGATGAAATAGTGCTCATCATTCTTCGATTTTTGAATATTGGTTTCGTGTAACTAAGGTGCAATGTTTTATATTGCATTGAGAGCTAAGTAAGACAGTCGACTAGGTTATATAAAACTGGTTTACATGTTGTGCATCTTGGGAACCGTTTAGATTAAAACTCAGTGTTAGGTGACATTAAAGGTTGGAGAGAACTTGAGGTTAATTAGAAGAAGAAGTATCACTTTATGAAGTCACTGCTGGTTGATTTGGGCCGTGAAAGAGAATAACTTCTCTCCGGTTAGTAATCTAAAAATATTAGGAATGAATTCCTACAAGTTTTTAAATGGTTTAGATCAAAATTGATCAAAGTAATACAAATTTACTCAATCCTTACCATCAAAGTCTGGAAGGTGTAATGAAGTAGGCCTGTTTCTTAGAACCTGTCGATGGGTGGAAATCTGATCGATACACCCTTGTCCAGGTCTAAAACCTGCCTGGTTTTCTCGAGCTCCAGTTAGGCGTCGTGTGACTATGGACATGGTATTAGTTAAACTGATCCCTGTATAGTTATCACAAGAAGGCTTCTCTACCTTATAGACTGAAGTGATGAACGGAGTAGACCAGTCTAACGGCACTACTTTTGATTCCCATACACTACCTAGTACCTTCGTTACTGTACTCAGTAATTTATTGCCTGCATTCTTGAAATCTTTGGGTGGTAAACTGTTATGTTCAGATGCTCTGTATCATTTCAAGTTCAAAACAGCTTTCTCAACTTCGATGAATGTTGTAGGACTGACTTCTTCGTTCCATTCAGGTTCAAACTGGATGCTGGTCAACTGGAACGTTTCTGGGGATCAGTTAAACTGTGCTTCAAAGTGTTCTGCCCAAAGTTCCAGCCGTCTGTTTTGAGAGGTTATCTAGGTTCCTTCCTTTTCAGCAATAGTCTCATTGACCATCGTCTTTTTGCTGGTATTCTTAATTAGCCAAAATAGCTGGCAGGTACTACCTAATACTGATGCTTTTTCCATATCTTTCACTTTTGTAACCCACCACTACTGGTGATCGACGCGAAGACTCTTGATCAGTTTACACTTGAGTTGCTTTCGCTCCTCATTATGGTCAGTGGCAACTGGAACCAGTCTTCTCACACTAATAAATTCGGATGAGGTTGCTGGATTCCATTAACATTCGCCATCGTCTAGACGTAGGTTACTTACTGTCTCTGCCGCTGTTTTTCGCAGCAAACTGAATATCATGTCAGGTTTCCCCAGGATGAGGACTGTTGTCACGTTCAGATAAATGCTTAGCTATCTCTTCCTTAAATACGTTCTCATCTTCCAATAGACCGCAGACATGTTTCACTACCGCCTGTTTCCTGAGACCGGTAAGGCGCATACATACACGTGCCCGTACCAATGTGTGATCAGGGTCCAAACTGGTACTGACGAATGAATGAGATTGGAGCATATTTTATGTTAAATTATCGAATGTAACCAGCAGGAAGCGGTATTAAACCTTTTTTTTAAATGTTAGCTCCCAGAAGCAGGACATTTTTGTTAATTGAAGATAATCAATTCTTCAGAGGTTCATATTCGCAGCAGTCAGTTTTGTTATCCGAGAACCACTCAATCAGCTATTTGAATATATCGATTTGATGTCTCACGAATGTATCAATTACCAAGTGTTTTGTTGAAACCAACTTGTAAATACTTTCTTGAATTGTGTGTAAAAGTATGCATTCCATTTATATGGAAGTAATTCTTCACCTTCGTTATTATATAAACAGTTGTCCAATGCTTTAATAATAAATAGTGATGCTTGTGGGATTAGCAGGTAACAGCTTTCTATCTGCAGAATTCCTTAATAATAGTGGTCAGAAGTTATTGGTTCAACTTGCTGAATTAATGGTCAAGATATTGAAGTTATTGACAGTTCTTTATGATTAGCTTTGACTGTCACTCACTGAAGTCTTTAATGTAAGATTTTTTGTCTATTCCTGTCAGTCCATCGATTTTCAGATATCAAATAGTAGATGGAAAAATGGTAAAAGTAGTACTAATTTGTAAGACAACTGAGATCGGTGATTACACACTACAGTTAGACGTGGCTCAGAGTCGATCACAGTGATGCAAACGCATCGCATACCTGACTTGGACTGTAGCTCTTTGGCTTAGGGAGATGACTTTCAACTAGTGGGTCATGGGTTTAAAACCCGTCCTACGTACCATGGTTTGAGTAGCCAGGTAGTATCATTAGCACTCAAACAATAGGTATAGCTCATTGCGTACTGCCTGAATGTGCAGAAAATTGTTGAATGCATTTTGATTTTGATTTCTATGCACACCTTTTCTTCTTCCTAATCATCATGTTGCATCTTGTTATTTGCTCAGCCTTGTCTTATAACTTTCTATGACTTCCGAATTGGTGTTTCCAATTTTCTGTCTTTCATTTTGTTTCATCGTAACGAAATGTGTGAGTAGCAGTAGCCGGAAGTGTTATATGCCAATGCCAGCAGCTGTGTTGATAATAACTGACTTGTTTGATGTGTCCACTTGTTGATTGAAGTCGAATGTGAACTTTCGTTTAATTGTTCCTTAATTACTGTCACTGTTTACATCAAAATTGACTTACGTGACTGTAATTCACAAATTTATCAACTCCACTTATAAGATTGCGTATATGTAGCATGCGTTTATGTGGATGTCTCAGTATTACCATTAGTTAGGTTATCATGTGGCTGATACAGCTTGCAGTTCTGTGTTAGAGCACACGGTGATACTTCACTGTTCAAAACGATGAGCCATGATTATAAGTCTTAGTGCTAATGTCGCATTTTTCCTAAACGTATTTTGTGTTCCATGGTCATTTACCACCGACCCATATGACGAGGTGGAGGTCAGTAAGGAAATCCAAGTTCCAAAGCGCCACAAGGTAACCTGCACAGGTAACTGTCTTCTGTCTCATTTTAAGGGTGGAAGTAAGACTGTGATCAGTGAACTGGCTACATTGTTTGGGATGCTACAACGGACTGAGTGTTTCATCCCTCTAGAATAAAGTCATTACTGTGCTTCGCAAGCCCTGGAAAACGAAGGATAGTTTTGTCTCGGTCGTGGGTTCATTAGTCTCGTGTTTACTCTCAGTCAAATGCTCATACACCGTCATAAATATTTGAGGTTAACAATCATTATATTTCTCAATATTAGGGCTGTCTACAGTTTGTTGAACAGGTTTGTACTCCAGATTTGTCCGTCAGAGAGAACTTGGAGATTCGTTAAGTATGTCATCTCCGCTGCTCCCACATTATTCACTGTTCATTTACCTTGGGATTGGTTGGAAGAAATGGTAAGGTTGTCGGTGTATGACATAATGTCTTGACATGAAGAGTCATTCTGCTCCGTTAGATTTTGTAGTTACCTCATAACTACCCGGACGGGTTCTGAGAGATCGTACAGCTTAATGGTTTGATTATAGCAGACATGACTTAAAATGGAAACTAGTGGCGATCGTGCTACAGGTTTCATGTTTTTCTATTAATGAAAAAATAAAACGAAGGTGATGAATGCTGTTTTGGACGTATCTTTAAGACTTCTCATGTAATAGCTCATTTGTGTCTTTGTTTCTGCTCTTTTCTCTTGGTACCCATATCCCAATTTTCTGTTCTAAATCGTAATAAATAGAGAATATCTATATAAGGTATTCAGAAGAGAGTGTAATGGTTGAGTGTGTCGACCCATTGGTTTGAACCTTGTGGGGCGACTCAGACTTGGTGGTTGGGGTTCGCAGGACAAGAGGAACCAGTGGCTCAGAACCGATGTTAGTGGTGCAGATGTATACACACATTATCCTCAGCTGAACGCTTGCCGAATCTTACCATTTTCTCATTCTTCCCTTCTCTCTTTTAGTACCGTATATTTCCTTTTGACTGAATTTCCTTTTCTTCATCTCCATCTTCCACTTGGCTGCTTTTTTTACTTGATGCACTGATATGTGAAGTGTGGCAACTCGGACCGTTACGCAGTAAGTAATGCCTAGTCCTATGTTGATTTGGATGGATTCTGAAGAGAATAAAGTCTTGTTGTTAACTTTTACAATGAATACTTCTTGCTATCTGTAGTGTGAAACATTGGTACCAGCCTTTAGTTTTTTCTCTTTTAGACTGATGAAGAAACACCGTATGATATATCAATGAATAATAAAAAAGATTCAGAAACCTACGTTACTAAACAACCTAACCCAGCTCCAGCCGTCAATCTTTACGGAACAACATCATCGTGAGAAATAAGATGATGCTGTTGAAGATGCAATGAGTTCGCTTGCAATTGTTTATAAGAAATGCAGAGATGCTAATTGTTGTTTACTTTCGAAAAGAGGAGAGATTTTAAAATCTATACTATTTTTCTCATGTATTTTGTACGGTTTGTCTAACTTTTATTTTCATTATTATCTCTGATCCCCGCGTTACCATTTCTTACCATTGTTCTTTCTCGATAATCTTCTGTTTGTAATCTATTTTTGCCTTGATTTTGAATTTTCTTGTTGCTGGTTTTGTCTGAAAAGACATACACACACACATGCAATTTTTAGTAATTTCCTTTTTCATCATATTGTGAATGTTTTCTCATGTCTTGTTGTAATTTCATTCATTGCAAAATGATTCTGTGATACCCAGCATGCATATTTACTTGCTTGTTGGCACAAATAACGTACTCCAAAATGAAACCCAATTTTTTTTCTATTCTTCAAAATGATGTTTTTTAGGTGAGCATAGGGTATTGATGGGTTTCTCTGTTCGTCTTTCTACCTGAAAAAGAAACACAAGCAAATACAATGAGAAGTTTGTTAACAGGTTTACTGGTAACAGTGAGATGTAATTCTCTTCTTCTTCTTCTGTTTTATTCATTGAGTGACTGTTTCTTGTCTACTTTTTCTAAACATAAGTGATGTATATGTTTACTTTGCCTTGACTTTTTGTGATGGAAGGGATTTTCCTAAATTTGTTTAACTTTTTTTTGAAGAGAAAACCTTTTCCCCCTATTTTCATGATGATTTCATAGGCGTTACAGGGAATACAACGTAAGTATAATGTATCTCATTTTTTCATTGACTGTTGTTTGGTGTTCTCACTATGCATATTAACATTTTTCTATAATTTTCAGCTGATTTAATGGTGATTTTCGTGTTCAGTTGGCTTTGTTTAAAGTCTGTTGAACTGAGGGAAGGACTCATAAGGCGATTAAATGTAAGGCAACTCAACACGGGTATGAGGCATTGATGATACTATCCTACTGCGTAAACAGCAGTAGATGGCGTTGGATTAGAACCCCGGACCATTAGCTTAGCACTGTTCATAAGGAAAAACGAGAAATAGCAATACTGGAAGCGTTTGTTACGTGTCTAGGAGAGAATTCGGATTTTCTATAGTGTTACCATATAAAGAAAGGACACTAGAAATTCTACTTACAATTCTTGACAGTGCGTTTTAGTCTTCAGGACCCAGTAGACCCAATTAGACAAAATAATCTTGTCTATAAAATACCATGTTTTGTTTGTCAGATTAAACTAGCCTGTTGAGGTTAGACAGGATAGTGAAATCAAAACATGTAGCGAAATATTGAATGATAGACTGTGCTAATTTAAGTAATCTACAAAGAAGTTCTGTTATCGCTCTGAGTGCACTGACTCATTCATGATCCACGGTAGGGTGACAGTTGTACAATCCAATACAGCTGGGCAGAGGGAGAGATTGATTACTAAATCTTTGGCCATAGAATCAACACCTAACACATACAACGGGAATAATTCAACACATGTGGACGTTTGGGAAATTCTGCTACCACTAAAAAGAACAAGCAGATGTTGGACTGAAAATGAATTTTGAAAGTTGTATGATCATCTTGATATGATTGTGAGCAATAATTTGTTTGCGAAATGTCATCCAGTAAGTAGTATTCTGTCATTGTATGCCATATCAAATAAGCTAGTGTAATATGGCAATAAGGGCTCTTAATTTCCTTCCTTAAATGTTGTGGTTACTTACCGCTGTTGATTTCAAACTCTAATAAAGAGTGCTGAATTCAGGTTCATGATAAAGATGGTTTCCATACAAATGAAGGTATATCGATTAGTTAATGAAGAGCAATCAACGTTTTTGTAGTCCTAACTGTGGACCAGGTTCTGTCTGTCAAGTTTTCAGTGGTCTTATTTCAGAAACAAGTAATTGTGGGGCATCTTTCGATGTTAGAATAGGAGAATCAGATAGTTTGATACTATCTGTCAGCTTTGCATGATATGGATGTGTTTCATTGTTTTAGGAGCTCAACTTACAGGCTATGTTTTGATACTTTTTTTTCCCCGTTGCTATGTACGGACGAATTTATCGACCTCTATTGGCTAGTGGATAACGCTTTGACGGTTGAAACGATGAGTACTGAGTCTCATTGAGAACAACATTCGCTGTTATGCAGGCACATTCAGCTGACGAGTCATAAATGGGCCGAAATGTGCGTCCTGGGTTCTTCTGCTAGACACAAGCTATGTGTCCAAACATCGCACCACTTACTTCAACTTGGGCAAAGTAGGTGGTATCATAAGTCGCCACAACAAATTCGACTCACAATTTTCGTATATAAACTTGTATCAAGTTGAACTGCATTGTGCTGTTTGTGATTGCACAATATCCGGATTCTTTACATGCTCATTACGAAAATAAACACAACAAAATAGTCAATTTCACTTATAGTGAAATAATTGAAGTTAAAGTGATAACCTATGACAGGATTCGAACCAGTAGCCTTCGAGTTACCTGCTTGGTGCTCTACCAACATCTGTGAGACTCAGTTACTGACTAGGTCTTGACTTCATTGCAGTCGCTGCTGTATGAATGTGTGATGCGTAACTGTCTGTCCATCGTAATCACACTGGCTGCCTAATCACTTCTCACTCTAATCCAAATCGAGCTGAATTAGAGAGCCGAGCGTCACATTGAGATAGCTGTGGTTTGATAGACTGATGTTATTGACGCTGGTTGATTATTGAAAGTCCCAGTCCTTTCACAGCCCACCTACCTGCTCATTTAACCCTCAATCATCACCCAGAATCAATAACACACTGGTCTGCTTTGTTACATCTATCTCATGTAGTCTCAATGATAATACTGGAATAATTTGTGTTAACCGGATTCTAGTTATTTTGGCTTATATATTTCACTCCATTGCACACATGTTTGTACCTGTTAGTTTTGTATTATTAAGGTTGATCCTAGATATTTCCGCTTTATTGGTCTCCATTTATGATGTAGATTTGACGACAAGAGAAATGATTATATATCCACATTTTCATTAAAAGCTTATGTGCTGTGATTATTCTTGTTTGTGCAAGTTTTTCTTTTTCATGACACCTGTGCTGGTGTAAATCAAGGTGATAATTACAGTAAAGAAGTGGAACTAATTACTGATAGAATAAATTCAGTAGTTAGTTTTACTTCTAAGTTATTGCTTTTTCATCAGTTACGATGTAGACTTTTCGTCATTCTGTTTTTAAGATGGTGTTATTAGATTTCCAGTCATGGCAACCTTACTGAAAGAAACTAAGGCATTGTTATTATGTTTCTGTTAAATACCCGTTATTTTGCCTGATATTTGCTACAACTTTGAAGTAACTTTCTTATTGTTGTTTTAGCACCCTCTTAGTGGCGTTAACTTTTGTTTCTCCCGCTGCGTCTGAAGGCTGAACTCTCATTGGTTGTTAACTCTTAAATTATAAGTGAATTTAGCGTTTGTCAAGGTTGTTTAAAATGTATAGATCCAGCATCGCTCTTAACTGCTTTTACTATTATTGAGACAATGAAAGCTCTCTATCAATGGTCTGTCTCCTCCTCTTGTCTTCATGTGCCTGCGGTATTGTCGTTGTGATGTTTGACGTTCTGATCAGTGATTAGAGTAGATTTTTTTACGCGTTAGGTTCGTATCACTCACGGGCTGCTGGGTCGCATAACCGGTCATATCAGTTTCCTGTAATGGTTGGAGTTACTATGGTTTAGAACAGATGTCAATCACTCATGCACATGCTAACTAGTCTATAGTTCTCTTTGATCGGTGTGAAATTGAGACATGGTTAACTGCTCTGCCTTACAGCTTGGTCAGTTGGTTTGATAAGTTTGAGATTGTCAGTTTGAATGCTGTCGCGATCGTTCGTTGTTTTCCGACTTCTATCACCATCCGTTCAGATTAATAACAGCCTATGGAATCTGGAATACCTGATCTAATCTAACTAAAACGGCATATCCGCCCAAATCGTTTTCACGATGTTATACTTGGTGTTGTTGAAGTACTGCGAGCTACATCTTTGTTACTATGCAGGTACTGAATGCAGAACTCCTTAAGATACGTGATATTTTTTTAAGAAACCAGAATAATGAGATCCTAAGCAGTTTTCAATAGGCTGTGATCACAATGGACCATTCAACGATTTTCTTTCTATCTTGATTAAAAACTCATCCGATGTACTGGATTCCTTCTGGCGGTTGACTGTTGACTGACTCTTGTCATGGTAACATGGACCTGTAGGTGTTTGCTGTTCTTGAGTGACTCACCCAGTGACCTTGAGCAACCCATCGTACTTACAAGCCAATGAGAATTTCAGTTGGTTTAGTTAGCCAATCAATCAATTTTAACATGGGACTTGGTATTATTGTGTAATGAGTTGGATTAGTTTACAGTAAAATCCGTGAAATTGAAGGGGATTATCTCGCTTATGATTGCTTCACGCCATTGGTAATAATGAGGTTTAACATATACTTGTATTTCCTGAGGTAGACGAAATCATGTGTATGAAGCGCTCATCGGATCATGATGTTGGTAATTAGTAGAACACCATAACACTCGATTACAACCTTAATTCTGACTATCTCAACCTTATTGAATAATTTCAAGTAATTTAGTGATGTCTATCAAAGAATAGAGCAGCATTAGAATTTCAGAAGCTTTGACTGATCACTTGTTCTTCTTGGCACTCATTAATAAGGAGCGAATACAAACTTGAGGAAAATCCTACTTCTCAACTATTCTAGCGTGTGTCACTGGTTTTCTCTAATCTGTTTAACTTATGACTACCTGGATTGCGTAAGGGTTAATAGACGATCATTAACCAATACAGTGCTTGAACACTGATCAGCGATTATCAAACAATGTGAATTAGTTTATTGGTCATATTAAATTTCTCGGTCAGTCAATTTTGGTTGACTCTTCATAGATCAGCGAAGTAAATTGGTTAGCAAATCATGATGAATGCATCGAAGTATGCCTTTGACTAGTTATTTTTGCGATAATTATTATCACTAGAATACGTGTTTCGTCGTGTTTATGGCTTCTCAGGTGGATGTACTTGCATCCAAATGAGTTTTGGTATTCGCATTGATGAAATATTTGAATGAAGACCAGTACCCACTGAACAAGATTTCATTATCGTGACTCAGTAGCGTAATGAAAGACTTGGTGTTTGAAGTCATTATTGTGGGATTTCGTTGTGGAAATTTTGTCACTCACTGAGGTGCAGGTACATCCAGCTGACGAGTCAGAAAGAAAACGGAGGGCTCATCATTGTTTTCACTACCGAATATGTAATCTAGTTTTAATTATTTAATAGATATCCATCTGCACAAGGAGACCATTTGCCGGCAGAGACTCATGAAAGTTTTGTCATTCAGTCAAAGTAAATGTCCCAACAATGCCGTTAACTTGATTGGTTAATTAAGAAGTTTAAACATGACTATTTATGTTTGTAGTTCTTTACGTAAAGTTAGTACTGAAGTATGGCAGGTAACTCATAAAGTAAGTCTAATGATGCTAGGCGTTTTGTTAGCACAAACCATCAGTAATTATGCACATTCAGACACATGATGGTCGATACTGTCAAAACTAAAGGTCACAGTGCAATGGAGTAAAGGGTGTTACTACAGCCATTTTGGGGTTATCGCACACCTTAGCGGTAGGCTTCGACCAGTATCTACCAATAAATAATGTGAATCCAGTCGTTGCATGTCCATATATTAAGCTATTAGGGATACTCGTTATGTG